TGGGAATAATAGTTAATAATAATATATTTTACACTTGAAAATTGCTGAGAGTAAATTTTAAATATTCTCACCACAAAAAATAAGTATGTGAGGTGATGCATATGTGAAATAGCTTGATTTAACCACTGCACAATATACATACATCAAAACAGCATGCCGTACACCATAAATGTATACAGCTTTTACTTGTCAAATAAATAAGTAAATAGATTATTGATAACTGACAAACTCCATAGATAAATAGATACTACAGGAAATTTTTAATACAGGATGTGGTATTTTAAATCAGGAATAGGGGAGACAGGTTACATAATAGTTAGTGTCAGAGAGAAGTTGATAGCCATCTGGGAAAAACAAATAAATTTGTATCCATATCTCACATTTATGCAAAAATAAATTAGAAAGATATAATCATGAAAATTAAATCATTAAGGTGCTAGAAGATACTACTGCAAAATTTTATTTCTTTAAATGCTTGGAATAGGGGAGAGCCAAGATTATAGTGAGGCAAGAAAGATACCTGGGATATAAAAATAAAGCCTCTAATTTTAGTCTTCTAGATGCTTCCCTGGCCTTGTGCTAGTCCTGTCTGCTAGGCTTGAGCATAACCAAAGAAAAGGAGAAGAGAAAAGAAAAAGTCTGAAAGAAATGACTAATATTTTCAATTACACGGAATTTTCTGCATAACCAAAACCTTACAGTAAACAAAGGAAAAATATTTTTTAAATGGAAAACTGCAGCACATATTACAAGGGTGGCTTTAATATACAATATGCTCCATATTAATATGAGAAAGGTCAACAAGTCAACAGAAAAAAATGAGCAAAGAATATGAAAGTTCACAGAATAGAAAAATAAGTAACGCAAATATATAAGATTGACTATTTTTTATAAGAAAGACAAACCACATTCATTTCCCTCTTTTCACCTGTTGGATTAAAAAAAATTTAAACTAATAACCAGCTTTAGTGAGAATAGCAAAAACAATTACTGCTCACACTACCAGAGAGAATATGAATTGGTACAGCTTCTATGGAGGGTATATATCAGAATTATAAATGCACACACTCTTTGACCCAGAAATTCTACTTCTGGAAATGTATTCACAAACATACCCATCTATGTGCAAAATCATTTTAAAAAAACAGCATGGTCTCTCATTTCAGGAATCTGGCATCTTCAGGAACAGTTACCTGCTTTTTAAAGGAGGTGAATTATAGTTTAATGTACTACAGGTCCTATACTATGGATGGGAACTATTACAGCTTATAATGTCAAAAACTTTTCTTAGACCAAAGGTATCTTCCACAAAGGTAACAGACTGGATGACCCATCTTTCAATGATTTTCTGGAGTGTAGAGTCATCTCTACTATTACTGCCACATCATTAGGTGTGAATAACTCAAGTCATAGAGAAAAAATTAGCCTTCTACATTAGAAAGTAGGATTATTTCCAGCTAGAAAAATAGGAAGTCTATCTTCCTTAGAACAGATTTATGGTTTAGAAAATTCAAAAGACTATCTGTCTGAAAATGAATCATGGGTAGATAAATATAAACCAGAAATTTAGCATGCACTTGCTGTGCATAAAAAGAAAACTGAAGAAGTTGAAACCTGGTAAAAAGCTCAAGTCTTAGAAAGGCAACCATAACAGGATGGATCTATTTTATTACTAACAGGTCCTCCTGGATGTGAAACAATAACTACCAAAAAATACTATCAAATAAGCATGGTATTCAAGTACAAGAGTGGATTAATCCAGTTTTACCAGACTTCCAAAAAGATGATTTCAAGGAAATGTTTCATACTGAATCAAGCTTCGGTACGTTTCCCTATCAGTCTCAGATAGCAGTTTTCAAAGTTTCTACTAAGAGCAACAAAGTATAACAAGTTACACATGCTTACTGATCTATCTGAGAGCTGATAAAAAGATAATTCTGGTTGAAGATTTACCTAACCAGTTTTATCGGGATTCTCATACTTTACATGAAGTTCTAAGGAAGTATGTGAAGATTGATCGATGTCCTCTTACATTTATAATCTCTGACAGTCTCAGTGGTGATAATAATCAAAGTTTCTTGTTTCCCAAAGAAATCTAGGAAGAGTGTTCTATCTCAAATATTAGTTTCAACCCTGTGGCACCAACAATTATGATGAAATTTCTTAATCAAATAGTGAGTATAGAAGCTAACAAGAGTGGAAGAAAAATTACTGTCCTTGACAAAACTTCTCTAGAGTTGCTCTGTCAAGGACGTTCTGGTGATATGAGAAGTGCAATAAACAGCCTCCAGATTTCTTCTTCAAAAGGGGAAAACAACTTATGGCCAAGGAAAAAAAGAACGTCTTTAAAATTGAATGCTGTGCTGTCAAAATCAAAACGAAAAAAAAAAAAACCTGATAGGGTTTTTGAAAATCAAGAGGTCCAAGCTATTGGTGGCAAAAATGTTTCTCTGTTTCTATTCCGATCTTTGAGGAAAATCCTATACCATAAAAGAGCATCTTTAACAGAATTAGACTCACCTCGGTTGCCCTCTCATTTATCAGAACATGATCGGGATACATACTTGTTGAACCTGAGGAGGTAGTAGAAATGTCACATATGCCAGGAGACTTATTTAATTTATATCTTCACCAAAACTACATAGATTTCTTCATGAAATTGATGATATTGTGAGAGCCAGTGAATTTCTAAGTTTTGTAGATATCCTCAGTGGTGACTGGAATACACACTCTTTACTCAGGAAATATAGGACAGCTATAGCTAAGAGAGGTGTGATACATTCCAACAAAGCCCGAGGATATGCTCATTGCCAAGGAGGAGGAGCAAGTTTTTGACCCTTGCACACAACCCAGTGGTTTCTAATAAATAAAAAGTATCGGGAAAATTGCCTGGCAGCAAAAGCACTTTTTCCTGACTTCTGCGCACCAGCTTTATGCCTCCAAACTCAGCTACTGTCATACCTTGCTCTACTAACCATTCCGATGAGAAATCAAGCTCAGATTTCTTTTATCCAAGATATTGGAAGGCTCCCTCTGAAGCAACACTTTGGAAGATTGAAAAAGCAACACTTTGGAAGATTGAAAATGAAAGCCCTGACTGACAAGGAACATGGAATGATCGACCCTGACAGTGGAGATGAAGCCCAGCTTAATGGAGGGCATTCTGCAGAGGAATCTCTGGGTGAACCCGCTCAGGACACAGAGCCAGAAACCTGGTCTCTTCCTCTGAGTCAGAATAGTGCCAGTGAACTGCCTGCCAGCCAGCCTCAGCCCTTTTCAGCCTAAGGAGACATGGAAGAAAACATAATAACAGAAGACCATGAGAGTGATGGGACATAGAAGCCAGCCTGCCAATCCGATTGCTACTTCACAGATTCATTTTTGTTTCATTCAGTGGTATTTCAGCAGAGTTAATATGCTTCTCTGATGAATTACACAACAGTTTGTTAATTCTCCATTCTCGTAGTATTTCATCTTGAGAAACTAACTATTCTGTCATCTTGAAGTAAATAGAAGATCAAGCCTTCCAATAATCTCTGAATGTTTTGCTGTAGGATCTATTAAATCTGTGAGTGGTTGAAGATCAAGCCTTCAAATAATCTCTGAATGTTTTTCTGTAGGATTTATTAAATCTATGAGTGGTTTAAGGAGAGGTCAGTGTGTATAAAGTGTGTTTGAACATTATGCCAAATATCAAAATATGAAGGACTAATTCAGAATGCAAAAATGTTACGGCGGGTTGTAAATATGAACTATATAAGAGTTTAGTATGCAATTATGAGTGTAAAGAAACTGTGCCTTAAAAAGAACCAGCATGTTTACCAAATAAGTGTACAAATGTAAATGTTTAGGAACAATCTAAATACAAGAGATTGGAAACAATTTAAATATCCATCTTTGGGGGGACTAATAAGATAAAATATATTCATATAATAGAATATAATATAAAAGAATAGTGGCATAACTAAGATATATGTTATATTTTAAAAGCAAAATGTAGATACTTGTGTGCTAGTATTTTTGTTTTTTAGAAAGAAATACATGCACATAAATATGAACATGCATCTGGGTATATACAATATATATATATTCATATAGATTTTCAGTTATATGACCTGAAAACCTCTGGGAGAAAATATAAAGAAAAGTAATACAGCATAGTCATAGAAGTCAGCAGTAGGAGAAAGAATTTTTATCTTTTTCACTTTTTTATGGTTAAAATCAAAATGACCCCCCAAAAATGTATTAACTAGGAAACTTCCACTTATGTTGTCTGTACATTCTACAATGTGCCAGAATGAAAGGATATGAAAATAGCCAAATATTAACAGCTTTTTTGTAAAACTTTTTTAAAAACTACATTTAAGTCTTTGACTTTCCTGAAATCTTACACTAAGTGTTCATTGGAAATGAATACATTGTTCATAATATCCCTTTATCTCTGGATACACGATTGATTTTCTCTAACTGCACTATAGAGTACATAAGAATTACCTAATAAGCTTGTTAAACTACAGATGCCTGAAACCACCCCTCACCCCAAAGATTCTGATTGAGTGGGTCTGGGATGAAGCCTTTGGTTTTTTGTTTGTTTGAGACAGAGTCTCGCTATGTCGCCCAGGCTGAAGTGCAGTGGTGCTATCTTGGTTCACTGCAACCTCACCTCCTGGGTTCAAGTGATTCTCATATCTCAGCCTCCAGAGCAGCTGGGACTATAGGCTCACGCCACCACGCCCAGCTAATTTTGGAATGGAGCCTTTGCTAATTTTGGAATGGAGCCTTTGAATTTAAGTTCCTAATAAGCTACCTAGTGATACTGATACTGTCAGTTCTGGGGCCACAAATAGAGTAACACTGCTATTGACTACAGTGCTATGATTTGTAAATCTGAGTTACTACTGTAAGTCTTATTGAAACTAATAAAACTTCAAATCTAACTCCACTGTATGTTTTGACTCAAAGTTAATCATTTGACTTAATTCCATACTTTCTTTGTTTAGTAAGAAGCCATTAATGGTTATTCATCACCTGGAAGATTGTCAATACTCCCAAGGTAATTTTAGTCCCTGAGCTCTTATTATAATACATAATTTTCCAATATAAAATAGGAAAAGTGACCTGGTAATAATAGCTAAGAAGGCACTCAGCAAATCTCATTAAAAAAAAAAATTAGACAACTGCCAGAGTACCATCATTTTATTAAAGTGCTTAAAGACCACAATGATTGTTACCAATCTACTGAATATTTCTATTATATCCCCTTAGAAATTAGATATTCCTCTTCTTCCCATGAAAAGAGAGGGGTGAGCTGAGAGGGTGGAGAAACACTGAAAGAAAAAAGTTGTTGTCTTAACCAATGAGTCAATGAGTTACATAAAATTATAAAACTAGTGTCTTCACTGTGATTATCCTTTGATGTCTCCTTGAACAGACTGTCCCTCATTGCAAAGTGGCAATAGGCCAATGAACTATTAATATTTACACTTGAGTTATATATGCAAACAAATGCTAAATATTAGCTTTATTTTGCTATGCTACATTAAAGTTCTCTTGATCCTTAAAACTAACTGACAATTTTGTTTTCCCCTATAGCACTAAAACAAGTATTTTCCCAAAATGAAGAAATACAAGAAATGGCTCAGAATAAGTTCATCATGCTAAACCTTATGGTACATAAACTTTATGATGTTTTCTTAATATTATAATTTCATGGAAAATTTGAATCCCTTTTTTCTTTTTTTCTTTTTCTTTTTCTTTTTTTTTTTTTTTTTTAGATGGAGTCTCGCTCTGTCGCCCAGGCTGGAGTGCAGTGGTGCGATCTGGGTTCACAGCAACTTCAGCCTCCCTGGTTCAAGTTATTCTCCTGTCTCAGCCTCCCGAGTAGCTGGGACTACAGGCACCTGCCACCATGCCCAGCTAATTTTTGTATTTTTAGGAAAGATGGGGTTTCACCTTGTTGGTTAGGCTGGTCTCAAACTCCTGACCTCAGGTGATCCACTCACCTCAGTCTCCCAAAATGCTGGGATTACAGGCATGAGCCACCGCACCCGGCCTCCTTTTTTTCTATTTTTAAAGCACAAAGAGCTAAATGTTGGTTAATAGAGGAAGTTATGTGGAATTATAAAAGGCCAAAATAGAATTTACTGACAGTCTAGTTCACACAAAATCATCTTGAAACTATCAAAAACAAATGAATCCAATAACATTGTTTTTTTTTTCTTCTGCTAGCATGAAACCACTGATAAGAATTTATCACCTGATGGGCAATATGTGCCTAGAATCATGTTTGTAGGTATGTATGTGATCTCATTTTATCGGATCTACAAAATTAGTAGAAGTCAGCATTCTTGCTTTTATTTTTAAATGCTGGTTCAAGTACTATTCTTTTTAAAGAGAAGTCATTTCTAATCCAATCAATATCAGCTCTTGTCAGTTCTACAACCAAAATCCACTATCTCTGCAATTTGAAAATTTTAAATATTTTTTCAAAGCACGTATGCTATTAAATCTATATCCCAATGTACTTTCAATACACTGCCCCAGACTAGATTGACAGAGATCTATGACACACTAAAAGGAGAATTCAGGTTAATTCATCATGAACCGACATGTATGAAAACTAATTCTGCTTATAAATTTGCTTGACATTTGTTTTAGATTAAGAAATAAAAATAATTTTAAGAACATTTTATGGATGTAGCCAGAGGCCATTATCCTAAGCAAATTAACACAGAAACAGAAAACCAAATAGTGCATGTTCACACGTATAAATAGGAGCTAAACACTGGTTACACATGGACATAAAGAGGGGAACAATAGACAACAGGAACTCCAACACAAGGGAAGGAGGGATGGGGCCAAAGGGTGAAAAACTAACTGTTGGGTACTATGTTCAATATTTGGGTGTTGGTTTCAGTTGAAGCCCAAACTTCACCATCACACAATATATCTATGTAGCAAATTTGCACACATAACCCCCAAATATAAAATAATAATAATAAAATTTTCACAAGAGTGAAAAAAAAGAACATGCTAAATTATACTTTACTGACTCGGTTTTTTTCTTGACAGACCCTTCTTTAACAGTCAGAGCTGATATAGCTGGAAGATACTCTAACAGATTGTACACATATGAACCTCAGGATTTACCCCTATGTAAGTATTCACAAACGATCTGAAACAGTGGTCATAGCTGACCCCTGACTGTTAGTTAAGGGACAATGATGCCCTACATCAGTGCTTCTCCACAAACAGTGCTATCTACACACCAGAATCACTGAGGCTAGTGGTGGTGTTTAAAACGCCAACTTCTGGCTCCCACCAAAATCAGAATTTTGGGGGTAGCTCAGAATCTATTTTAACAGGGATGCCTAAGGGCTTTTATGATTACTAAATTCTGAGATCACTAAAAAGAATATAGTACACATTAAAATGACAGAAACTTGAGAGAGTCCATTCTCCTAGTATCAAAGATCTCATGTGATTTCCTCAAATGATAGTAAAATCATTTCATCTTTCTTTAATGCCTATAAGCAAGGAGGTACAGTCTTACTTAGGACTTTAATCCTCTCTTTTTTTTTTTTTTTTTTTCGTAGAGACAGGGTCTTAGTCTATTTCCCAGGCTGTTCTCAAACTCCTGGCCTTAAGTGATCCTCCCACCTCAGCCTCCCAAAATGCTGGGATTAGAAGCATGACCTACCATGCCTGGCCAAATCTATTTTTTACAACATTCATTGTCAACCACATTTAGTAAGACAACTGTGCCTGTAAGATCTGGCAATACTAATACAAAATGATCCATTAAAAAATAAAAGAGGTATTCCTCAAAACCCCTCTAATGAAATTATTCAACATAAAGTTGACCAACCAGCTCTCAATGGTCTAATCCCTAAATTTACATGTACACTTTTAGCATATTCCTTAATGTCACAGATGAATTCCCAAGTTTTCAAAGCTATTGGGTCAATTTCAGGTTCTAGAGTTAATAGATCATAGCATTTATACTTTCATTTGTTAATAGCATAATATATATTAATTCTTATTTCAGTGATAGAAAACATGAAGAAAGCATTAAGACTTATTCAATCAGAGTTATAAGGGATGATGGAAAAATGCCTTCACTTCGAAGAAGTCAAATTGAATGAAGAAAACCTCTGGCACATTGACAAATATTAAATGTGCAAGTATATAGATTTTGTAATATTACTGTTTAGTTTTTTAATGTGTTTGCAATAGTCCTATTAAAATGAATGTTTTTTAAATCTGAGACTGACAATATAGTTTTATTTCTGCCTCATCAGTAGCAAAGAAAGCCTGCCAAGAGTAATAGTGGAGACAGGAGGACCTAAATAAGAGGTTCCTATAAGGTTTGTCTCTATTTCTTCACCTCTCCTTCACTCCATCAACTAATCTAACTTTATTTTTAATTTTCTAATTTTTTTTTTTTTTTTTTTGGTAGAGATGCAGTCTCACTATGTTGCCCAGGCTGGTCTCGAACTGGGCTCAAGCAATCCTCCAACCTTGGCCTGCCAGAGTGCTGAGATTATAGGCCTGAGCCACTGTTCCCGGTCCAACCACCAACTAATCTAATTTTAATTCTGTCTCCTCCACTGTACCATACCTGCCAACCCAGGTCATAAATGATCTCCATGTTACCAAAAAAAGTAGATAAATCTCTGCCCACTTGTGATTTTAAATTTTAGCTACATATTGCAGCATTAACCACTTACTTCTTTTCTTACTTTACACTAAGACAGACATTTAAAACCTAATTATATTTTTAAAATTCAACTACATTTATTTATTTATTTGAGACAAAGTTTTGCTCTGTTGCCCAGGCTCGAGTGCAGTGGTGCAGTCTTGGCTCACTGCAACCTCTGTGCCCCCGCCGCCACCCATCAAGTAATTCTCCTGCCTCAACCTCCCAAGTAGCTGGGATTACAGGTGTGTACCACCACACCTGGCTAATTTTTGTATTTCTAATAGAGACAGGGTTTCACCATGTTGCCAGGCTGGTCTGAAACTCCTGACCTCAGGTGATCCACCTGCCTCAGCCTCCCAAAGTGTTGGGGTTACAGGCCTGAGCCACTGCATCCAGCTACATGTTTTTCTTAATTAGTGGGTAGATACTTTAAAACTTCTAATAATTTTAAGAAAGTGTAACTACTTAAGGAAAATTGAAGAATTCTCCAATTAACTAGTAGGGAAGGATTATATTTATTCTGAAATGATCAAATATCCAATCATCAACTCAGTTCTCCACAGGAAGCCTCCAGAGAGTTAATACCATGTCTTCTATTTATTTAAATAACAACAAGAAGAAAAAAATTCTGCTAATAGAAATCCCAAAATCAGCTGGGAGTAATTATCAGAAGGTAGAAAATATTTTAGAGGCTGGGCACGGTGCCTTACACCTGTAATCCCAGAATTTTGGGAGGCTGAGATGGGAGGATCACCTGAGATCAGGAGTTTGAGACCAGCCTGGTCAACATGGTGAAACCCATCTCTACTAAAAATACAAAAATTAGCCTGGCATGGTGGTGAGCGCCTGTAATCCCAGCTACTCAGGAGGCTGAGGCAGGAGAATCGCTTGAACCTGGGAAGTGGAGGTTTTAGTGAGCCAAGATCGTTCCATTGCACTCCAACCTGGGCAACAAGAGTAAAACTCCATCTCAAAAAAAAAAAAAAAGATAAAAAGAAAGAAAATATTTTAGATGGGCAAAAATTTTCCTAACTCATAGGATTTTATTGCATTTAGCAAAATTTGAATTGCTTTATGATATAGAACTACACTTTTATATGAGATAGATATGCAATGTCTATGATATTATGTTATAGATCCCTGTAATTTCAACATTTGATGAGTCTGAGAAAAAAAATGATTTTCTTTGGGTGTTATTTGATCACTATTCTGTTCATTTTAAGCAGGTTTGTAGTAAATTGATCTATTTGAATATAAATAGGTTATATGATTATCAGTACTAGATACCCATTATCCTATTTATTTACAAAAGAATATTAAATATCCTATTTTAATTTTTATATTACAGACTATTTTGGCTTTTTAGATAAAAGTCTAGAGTTTTTATCTTAATGGATGCTAAGAGATCAGAATGCATTGGCATTCTCTGATTTAATAGTTTAACATATGAAGACTAAAGAAATATAGCTGATTCCATGGTTGCATAAATAGTTCAGAGGATCCAAATGTTAGCAGTTATTTGCAGTGAACTATAAAAGAGATCAGTTGACAATTTAGTTTTTTTAAGAATAAATAAAATTGATTATTCATTTATCTTGCTTCAAGTAGCATAAAAATGTTACTAAGTGATAAATTCTTCTTTGTAATAAAAATACACCTTTACATTTTAATATGCATATGTTATTTAATATGTATATATTGTTATTTAATATGCATATATTGTTATTTTGTTATGTATATACTTTTATTATGCATGTAATTATATGCATGCCAACATTTAATATGTAGATATTTTACATATAAATATTCGATAATCAGTTTCAGTCATTGTAATCTTGTAACCCATTTCGTTTTCCTTCTCTCCTCACTTTAACAAACTCTATAATCCTCGCTGGGTACAGTGGCTTGTGCTACTTGTGAAGCTGAGGCAGGAGGATTACTTTAGCCCAAGGGTTTGAGGCTGCAATGAGCTATGATCAAGTCTATGAATAGCCACTGTACTCCGGCTTGGGCAACATAGTGAGACCCCAACTTGTTTTTTAGAAAAAAAAAAAAAAAAAAACTTTCTATATTGTAGTTGATATTTCTACCCTATTTTATAAAATTAATTGTTTGGATTCCATTCCTTCTTAGGTTACCTCTACTTTGGAAATGTAGGACTATGTTTACTGAATTTGTGTCTGTGTATGTACATATAGGCGTATGTGTGTGTGTATGTGTATAATTTTACTTCCATTTGTTTTTACCCTTATAACCTCCAAGAAATTATTCCTTTCCTAACACATCCAACATTTTAAAAAGTTACCAACATCGACTACCTGAAATAGTATGCAAAGCATTTTAATGCAGGCTTTCAGAGTTTTCATTTGCATTTCAAAGAGATAACAGTCAAAAAAGTTATACATTCAAAAAGGATTAATTAGATAAGGTCCAGCATTGCCACATAAAGTACAGGTCATCCAGTTAAATTTAAATAAGGGATAAACAACATTTTCAAAATATAAGCATGTCCTGTTTAATATTTGAGATATACTAAAATGTATTTGTTGTTTATGTGATATTTTAAATTAAACTGGGTGACCTGTATTTTTATTTGCTAATATTGTCAATACTAGTTTAGAATTACTGCACTAGATCCTTCACCTCTTCCTTGTCCTCCTTCCCATTTGTTTTCCTAAAATAGCAACATTTCTATTCAGATCAAGCTCTCAATTCCTGAGATCAAAATAAAACCTAAATTATTTCCTAGCATTTAATCTTTCCCAATTATTCAATGATTAATTTTCACTCTGCCAGATACTAACCGCTATGGATCCAAAGATAGACCGGTTAAAAGAAATTCACAGTCTAGTGGTAAGATATATCACTGGTGGGACATAACTCCTTACTAAATAAGCTAATAAAATAATGTGAAATCAGTAGAGAAACAGCTCAACCTTCTAGTAGAACTGTCAGGCTTTACACAAGACGCAGTACTCATGAATCCTGAATGAGAGGAGAATGTATTTCAACATCATGGAAAACAACATGAAAAAATAGAAAATCAGGTATATTAAAAGGGCCAAAGAAAGTATTGTTCATTGGTATAATCTTAAAATACGTAAGTATACAAAGTTTTCTAGGTAGCATCTTTCAGACTTCTAGATTAGAGTTAATAAGAGTAGGCCAAGCCTCAGGGAAGTGTACTTTCTTAACCCAATGATTTCACACACATAAAGATTACTTGAGTTTACAAGTAGTACTTCTTAAAATGCAATTACATACAGTATGTATATTCATGAACCTCCTTACTGAGTAAAGAAAGATAAGCATTTTTTTCTTCTTTTAAAATTTGCTTTTTGTGCAACATCCATCTTTTTCACTAAATGGAAAGTCCTTGGGAGCAGAAAGTCCCTGTCCCCAACCCCCTTCTCTTTCACACACCCACGCCCACACACAATCTCACAAAATAAGTCTTGTGAGTGTTGGGAGGGCAACAGAATTGTGGGGAGCACCCACAATAGGAGGTCATTAAACACTTGACTCCCCTGGTGTTAGCAGTGAATCAGTTTCTGAACATTTTTTCTGGAATGAATTAACTGGAATGCAATTAGATTTTTGCTAAGTAGTGATTACTGCAACTTCTGGAAGTATATCATAGTTACTTTCCAGGATAGGATACTGTAACAGGTTGAATTGTGTCCCTTTCACACATACAAAAAATTATAGGTTGAAGTCCTATCCCCCAGCACCTCAGAATGGAGGTATTTCCTATTTGGAAATAAGGCCATTAAAAATGGGAATAAGTTTTAGTGTACTTAGTAGTGTAGGATGGCTATAGTAAACAACAATATACAATTTCAAATAGCTAGAAGATATTGAATATTCCCAATACAAGGAATGATAAACCTTTGAGATGACCGATATTGAATGACCCTGATCTGATCACTATACATTATATGTGTCATAACATTATGTACCCCATAGACATGTATGATTATTATGTGTCAATTAAATTTTTTAAAGGAAAATGTTATTAGATGAGGTAATACTAGAATGGGCCCCCAACCCAGTATGACTGAGTTCCTTATATAAAGAAGAAATTTGGATACAGAGACATGCATACAGAAAGAATGCTATGTGAGCACAAAGCAGAGAGTGTGATCATGCAGCAGAAGCCAAGGGAATGCTCAAGGTTGTCAGCAAACATACTGCATGACAGGCACGGAAAAGATTCTCCCTCACAGCCCTCGGAAGGAACTAACCCTGCCAACACCTTGATCTCAGCTCTCTACCCTCCAGATCTGTGAAACAATAAATTGATTGTTTAAGCCACTCAGTGTGTGGTACTTTTTATGGTAGCTCTAGCAAACCAATACAGATGCTCTTTCCCTGCCTCTCCAATTTACATGATTTCCACTATGGGTGGGGAAACACCAAAACTTCCTATCACACACTTCAAAAGGAGCTATGCTAGAATGGACAAATCATTTCTCATAATAAGTTTGTCAGGTTTTTGTTCTATCTTTCAAACAAACTTCTACCCTATTAAGTATTATTTCAGTACTCAAAGAGTTTTGTGTCAT